GCCCACACTAACAATAGCCCGATCTGCCTTCTCACAGTACTCCGTCGCCCTTGCCATCCCCTTTAAACCCAGTTCTAGGAAACCCGGCCTTCCCTCCGGGGATAGACGACAAATGTTTCCTCCACCTCAGAACCCCCAGTAGTTGCAGAGCAATCCACTTCCTGCACGGTACCTCGTGGCCCACTTCGTTTACATCAACTCATGACCCCGGCTCTCCGCTCCTAGATTCATGGCACACTATGCAACTGCTCCACTTTCTGAACTCCCTCCCTCCTCCAACTCAACTCTCCAGGCCATTGACCTCATTCGAATCTGAATGCTCCAGTGATGGCCCAGCCCGCCATGTCCTGTCCTTCTGTTATAAAATCCTGCTCTCTGGAAGCACTCCTGACAACCTGTGGTTTCTCGCAAGGTGGGAGGAGGATCTGGGGATCCAGTTCGCCCCGGGGGAACGCACAAAATTGCTTACATTGTCTTACCAATCCTCCATCAGCAATAAGTATTAGGAGTCCGGATACAAGCTGGTCACCAGGTGGTAGAGGATACCTCAAACTCTACACTCCATGTATCCCCAAACTCCAGATACCTGCTGGCGATGTGGCGCTCCTTCAGCAGACATCTTACATATATTCTGGTTATGCCCCTCACTCAAAGCATTTTGGGACCAAGTGCGCTCCATCACCCAAAAGTTCACGGACCTCCCGGTGCCCCGCGACCCGGCCTTCTTCCTCCTGCACCATAATGACATACCGACCAAGACCTACAAACGATCCGTCGTCCGCCACCTAGTCAACGCAGCCCGGGCGTGTATCCCAGCCCTGTGGAAGTGCCCCGAACCACCCCAATGGCTCGATAGGATGCACGACATATATCTTATGGAAGACCTTACCGGCTCCCTCCATGACACCTCAGACAGGTTTAGAAAGACTTGGTTCTACTGGATTGAGTTCCTCCACTCTCCAGCATATGAAGCCCTACGGCAAGGCCCCGAGACATGACCTGCCAAACGAGACTTCACTACTGGTTCTCCCCCCCTGCTACCCTTGCCTAACCTGCTCCCTCTACCCGCCCCCCCATCAACACCCCCTACTCTTACACCACATTTTCTCTTGGTTTTCTGCTAACACCATCTCCCCCTCTACGACCCCAGATAAGTTTCATTGCAAACCTCTGCTAGAGTGTCGGACCCCGACCCTCCTGAGGACTTCGGGTGTCCTGCTCCCGCACTTGATATTATCCCAGATCCTTGCACACTAGAGACCGACGGTAGAAGTCTCGCATTTCCACCCCTGTGCCACCATATGGGTCTGGATCTCGAAACATGCATCTCCCTTTGTTTTATATTTGTTTTACCCGTTTTGTCTTCCCTCCCTGTCCAGGACTGATGTATATTTGGAGCTACTGAAGCTATGTATGTACTGCATATTTGGACATCCCTTTGGAAAGCAGTTTTTGTATACGGAAAATTTAAATAAAGAATTTATAAAAAAAAAAAGGAAAAGTGCTTTGAAGTACAAAAGCCCCAGAAGGGCAATCCCATTCTTTGCAAATTAACTCTTGGTCAAACATTTAGGGGTCTATTCACAAAGCTGCCGAAGGATCCAGCAGTAGCTTTGGCTGATCCTTCGGTTAGCTTCAGTTGCGGGAACCCTTCTGTTCAGTCAGACTGAAGTGCTGCTGTACTGGCTATTCACTATAGCCGTTACAGCTCCTAAAGGCAGCAGAGCCGAAGTGACGCCTCACAAATGACAGCTGGGCAGGGTCAGCCGTGATCTCACGGCTGGCTCTGCCCAGTTGTAATGACAGATCAGCGTCCCCAGGTCATTTGGAAGGCAGCCGTACTGAGCCGTAGGGAATAGCCCAACATTGTTCAGCTTACTTCACTACGGCTCAGTTATTCACTCTGCTACCGTTGGCAGCTTTGTGAATAACCCCATTAGACTTAGGTGTACCAAAAGGAACCCAAGCTTCCAAAGAAACATCCACAGATGTAAAGCAATACAAACACACTCCATGCAGTTAGTGTTTTGGCTGGGATTTGAACCAGGGACCCCTCTGCTGCAAGGCAGGAATGCCTTGCTGGCCTTTTTACAAATCTCGCAAACCAAATGAATAAGTGCAAAGACCACTAATGCCTCTTGTGAAAAAGTAGATGAAAAGGTTTTGTCATCACTAGCAGAGTGAGTTTGATAAGTCGCCACTACTTTCCAAGATGTTGCAGAAATCCCAGGGATGTTGCAGAGGAATCAAAGGGTGATAGCTATGGAATGGGAGCACATTTTACTCTGCTTTTTCAGTAAACACTTGCTTTTTCAGTAAACACTTGCTCCGCATGTGAACCAAAACCTCAGAATTTACAGGTGGGAAAACTATAGACTGATCCAAGAGAGGATAAACTCCCCCACATGTCACACAACTCACATCAGTGCCCACTGCACCAGCACAGCTCCACTTAACAAGGCCTGTCTTGCCCCATTTCCACAAGCCTGAACCTACCAAGGCACCAGGAATGAAGGGGGTCCCAGCAGGCGTAACACCCCCCAGAGAAATGACTTTGTTTTGAAGTGCAGCCTCTGCATCCTCTGTGCCAACAGATTAGCACTTGACTTGCTCCATTTCCACCGGCCTGAACCCACCGAGCCACCAGGGATGATGGGGGTCCCTACAGGCTTATCACCCCCAGAAAAAACGAGTCTGTTTCGAAGTGCAGCCTCTGCGCTGACAGAAAAGCACTTAACTTTTGCTTAGGTGCTAAGCCTCTTTTTGTTTATTTTAAAGCGTCTATCTCAGCATGTTGCTGGGTTTGCAAAACACAGGAAGTGCAATGTTTGGTGAGTTTTTTCAACCTGTAGATGGAGGTTATAGAGTAATGGGCCTTGTTCAAGAGAACAATAAAAAGTCATTGGTTCAGGTATGTGTACCATACATGGGCAAAGATAAAAAACATTTGAAGTACATACATGAAATTAAAACTTGGTGGATTAAAATATCAAGTTACCACTACAGGAAGATGCACTGAATTACAAATTACCCCTCTTTGAATATTTGTTAAATGTCAAGGAGAGGAATGATTTGAATATTGAAGACTACAGGAACCCTACCCACACAGATCAGCATCTGGTTTTAGACTCCCACCACCCAATGAAACATAGACTGGACATTTTTAGAACTGTATGACAACAGGCTAAGATGGTAACAACAAACACAGAGTTCAAAGGCAATGAACACAGACATCCCAAAAGTGCTTTGAACGCTTACGCTTGTGTCTACCCAGGCTTTTGTTAAACTTTCACAGGTCAAGCAAAAACATGGAACCATTGAACAAAGGGTAAAACAGAAAACATGGGGGTAATATTGTCATCCTGTATGAGACAGTCATCAGGACTGTTTAACAAACATTGCATCCTTGTATATATCAAGCCCAGAAACACACTGAGACAAAAGCTTGTACATCCTTAAATACCCCACTCCAAAAACCCCAAAAGAAAGATGTTTATCTCTCATCCCTGGATGTTTTTCTTCAAAGTGTAAAGAGAGGGTTTTTAGAGTTCTTCCTGCCACAAAAAGTAGAAATTATATTTCAATATAATTTTTAATATTCTTGCTGATTTTATTTAAAGGGTCTAGAGGGGATTGTCCTGTGGAGAATTTGAATGGCCTTGTTGACTGGTCATCGTTTTCCCTCTTATTCCTCATTAGAAATGTATCTATGACAATAAATATGACACATATTTTTTTAAACAATTTCAAAGGTTTAAGGCCATTTTCCTTGTGTTAATTGCTCCCTTTCATTCACCCTGTTGCTAATCACCTCAGCTTTTAAGCAACCTTTTTTGGTAGTATTTCATTTGAGACACTACATGTTTACCCTTTCTTTGTTCTCTCTGGCCACACCACCCCAAGTAAGAAACATTCAGAAAATCTTTATCTGTCTACTTCATTTTTTTCTACTACCTACAAACTTTCTTCCAATACTGAACTCATGAAGGCAGATTACTGTGAGGTTGAGCACAAAAGAAGTTTCAATTTATTAAACCTTAAGTTAGCTCCATGGCAACCAGGCTCAATCCAATAGGAATTCTACACAAATTGTTTATTGAAACCTTGGACAATTAACCACCTCATGGTCAGAATTCACTATGCAATGTAGTCATAATATGATGTACTATGGAGAACACTGTCAACCAATAACACCATGATCCTAGCACTGTTGTATAAAACCTAGGGAGCAGATTGAAAGTCTGACAAATTGGAAGAAGCTCCTGAGGTAGCTCTGTTTCAGAACCCCGGCAGTATAGTATGCTGTACAAAAAAGAATATACACAATGCGTACAATAAGATTAACCTATTCTTCAACACAGTAGACTGATGTCTAAATGATAAACTACAGTTTGTTGAGATTGTGCACTTTTGCTTAATTGTTGATGTGTATGATTATTAGTAACCAATATATGTAGCAAATAAAAAGTTTCCCAAGACTCATGCATGGTAACCAAAAGTTATAACATGATTTTAACAATAAAAACAGATGATTTGGTTTGTAGCAGATACTTTGAATGTCTGGGTCAAAAGTCACATATATTTGGTAAAATGGCTGAAAGAAGAACTATCACTACAAATTAAACATTATTTTAAACCCTCCCCCTTTCCTCCCAGGGGACCTAGTTGCATTCGGCACTTGGTCCCATTCTAATACTTGCTGTCGTTGCTAAGCAGAGTAGTAAAACAGCTCTGTCACTGATCTTAATTCCCCTCTGACCTGTGTACAGTGTCCAGTACTCCCGATCCTGTGTAAAAGTTTGTTTCCTAACTCCTTATGCGTATACATGACAATAGCAACTTACTGGATCTGTTTCCGATCAAAAATACACAATGCTAAAACAAGTTTATAAAAAGTACCCTCGGGCTGCACATAGCACTAATTAAGAATGAGTAGCATATGTAATACACTATATAATAAAACAGATTGTTGACAAAGCAATATATGCAAACTTATTTACCTCAGCATTCAAATTATCAGCAAGACTTTCAAGAAACTGGCTCTCAATTGGATTTTGCTGGGTGAGAAGAGTAAGGTAATGGCTGAGCTTGTCATGGGTTGTAATAATGGTACCTTCTCCAAACTTATCAAATTGTGGCCGTCCAGCTCGTCCAAAGATCTGCATTACATCTAGAATTCCCAGGTCAACAAAGGAACCTCTTTTTGCATCATAAATTTGTGTTCCCTAGATAAAGAATGTAATAAAAAAAGGGCAAATGTAAATATACAAGATTACTTTATCATCTAAAAACATTTCAGCATATTAACTTATATCTTATGTACTTACTATAAAATCCATTACTTGGAGTTTATTGAGGGACACAGGATTCATAGACTAATGAATTAAACCACCACCTACAGGAGAATTTGGACATTGGTCAAAAAAACAAGCTCACATGGCCTACTCACCAAGTCTTCAAGACTGGGTCACAACAGAGGCTGTGCCATGGCTCTGAAACTGGAAAGTGCTCAATGGCTATCTAACACAGTACACTCAAGTTTGGAAAGTGCCACACTGAAAAACCTCAGTGCCCTAAGACACATTCCAGGCTAGCCTTGCAATCGTAGTTCATCCGGGTCCGGGTATGGTCCCCAAAGCTATTGCGTAGGATATGCCGATCTGCATACCTATGTACATAGATCAGCGCATGCAGTGTGTATGGAAATGTTTAAATAAAAATGTTTTCTTAAATGAAAAAAAAATTGCTAGTAGAAACGGTTACTTCTTATAGCAGAACAAATAGCATCCATCCTCCTAGAACACTAGGAAAAATTTGAGGAAAGCTGGGAGTGGGAGAGTTATACAGCACTTTTTTTTGCCAGTGCCCAAATCCTCCTTTAGGTGGCAATATAGCCCAGCTATTAATCCCGTGGCCTCTATGAACAATAAAGAAAAACATTATATTATATGACATAAATATGGCCTCAATGGGTTTACACTAGATTAAGATACTGACTACGTTTGGCATTTAATATGATCCTTTAAGATGGAGATAAAGAGCCCAGTGTTTGTATATTTCAGTGATGCAACAGATTGAAGCATTGCTTATGATGATCAAAGTTCTATGAAGTTCAACTCATACATGAGTTAAACATCCACAGTGGGTGATTGTAAGCACTGGGATTGATGGCTCTTGCTCACAGAGATATTCAAATATTTTGGAAAAACGGTGTATGATGGATGACATGATGTTCATAGTTATTGTTTAATGCGGGGCAAGCTTTTTCAGTGTGGGTACTGCATCCCTATTATGTGTTTTCTGTGAAATCTACCCAACATCAATTAACATTAATTTCAGTACATTGAGTTTGTAATTCTCAAACCCCTAATTTTCCAGTAAAATGCACTTAATGTATTTTTACTCTAAAATATTTCAACATTATGCAATGAAAGGTAGCTGGTTCCCCAAAGATAGTCTACCTTGAGTACCTTTAATTATGGTGACCACAGGTAAATGAATTTGCTAATTAGCAGCCAATACACTCTGCCCTGTTCCAGGCTGTGCTGCTGGTTCTGTACATACTTTTAGAAGAGAGTTACTTCAGACAGTGTTTTGGAGCTGAAAATTCTACATTCATCTACTCCGAGACTGAAAATTCTCCAACCATGTTCATACACACATGATTGACTCGGCCATTGCAGAATATTCCACTTGTAAGGTGAAGCACCGTCCAATCAACTCCACTGAATTTGGCTGAATATGAGCAGAAAATATATCCCTATTCACTTCTGAATTCATCTGACTGCTTCTGTCACATCATCAATAAACATTAGCTACCCAGTGCTGTTGGAAGCCATGCACGTCCATACCATCACACTGCCTCCACTGTGTTTTATAGATGGTGTGGTATGCTTCTGATCATGATGATGAAATAATGAAGGAATAGCCCACACCTGGCCATGAAACAACTTTTGAGTCAATTGTCCAATTACTTTTGCTCCCATGAAAAAAAAGGAGGCTACATACAATATTAAAGAGCTGTTATTCCTAAACCTTCTTCCAATATGGATGTGTATATCCTCTACTTAAAGCTGAGAAAATGCACATTAAAATAACAAAACATGTCAGTGTCAAATTTTACACACACCATTCAGACCCCCTTCACTGTTTTCAATTTTGCTATGTTGCAGCCTGATACTACAGTTGTTTAAATTCTTTTTTTCCCATTAATCTACACTCAGTACCACATAATGACAAAGTGAAAACAGAATTTTAGAAAGTTCTGTGAATTTATTAAAAATAAAAAACTGAAATATCACATGTACTTAAGTATTCAGACCCTTTACTCAGTACTTTGTTGAAGCATCAATTACTCAAGACTTTTTGGGTATGATGCAACAAGCTTTGGCGATTTGTCAATAAAGGACTTTTTGCTTCAAAACTTTTGGTGTGCTGGTGACAATCCTTTCTAGACATACACTGCACGATTCTCGTACGAGAATCGCGGGAAATCCCGCGATCGTACGAGAATCGTGCAGTGTGAATGAAGACGTGCGACCGTTTCTACTGTACGGTCGCACGTCTTTTGTCTAAGGAGCACGTTAGAAAACCAGCCGAAAATCGGTGCTCGGGAGACAAATGCAGAACGGGCCGGTGTGCGCACGCGCACACTGCCCGTTCAGCATTGAGGTCATCGCAAGTACGGTCTGCCTGTCCAAGATGGGCAGATCGTACTTTTTTAAATTACTTCGCAACCCTCGCAAGACTAAGGTCTTGCGATGGTTGTAAAGTGTATGGCCACCTTTAATCTGGCCATATATCAGGGAATCCACAGGAGTCACCTTAAAAAAAAATCAATTTAAAAGATCAGTTTCCCCCCTGAGACTGGTGAGCCAGCAATAGTCCACAGGAGTCACAGACTGCTTGCAGATATGCTATAACTTTCTGGAAAAACTGTAATCGGCAACAAAATTTAAAAGGAGACAATTCATCTCCTTTTTTTATGGTTAGTTGCCCCCTACCCAAAAAAATATATATAAATGTTAATATAACAGACCTACAGCTATAATATACAAACAACTGCTCTAGAGGAAGCCCTGGAGAAACAAGATAGAAACAAAGATATGCTACTTTTCCCCCTTTAGTTTTACCTGGTGATCCAACCAGTACGTCTGTAGTTTTTCAACTTTTTTTTTTTTAACAGAACAAGCTGTCCAGCAAAATTTGCAGTTAAAGGGTTGAGTGAAACCCTTTAACACAGGGGTGCTTACAATGGTAATATTTTATCCATTTATGTAAAACGTTTACCCCAAAAGGGAAAAAAAATGTTGCTGGAACTGCTTAAAAAGTGTTAGCTGTGGTCGGGCTTTCATTTTTTTTAATCATGTCCATCTAAATTTGCTAGTGCATCTAAAAATACTCTCTCCACAGGTTGACAACACTGCTGTTCACGGGAAGCTCTGTTGCTCTCCAACAAAGTGGAGCTAACCTGTGTGTTACCAGCTGAATCATTAGGTAAAAATAAAGGAGAACTATGGGGAGAGTGAAATGCACTTTTCCTCCATAGTTAGAGCTGACTTGTGACACTGCTGCTGTCACATGTCAGCTCTATAAATCGAGAACTGAGTGATCACAAACCGCTGATCGCTTAGTTCATGATCTTCTCCCTGCAGAGAGCGGTGACTTTCAGCCCTGGAGGGAGACAGGGGAGGGGGCGGCCAGAGCTGGCTCTGCGTTTAGGTCAACCAAGTAGTAGTGTGGATCCTGACAATATTGTCGGGATCTTTCCTGGCTGCAGCGTCACCCTGCACTCTCAGCATATAGTGGGCAAATGCCCGCTTTTTGTCAAGTTTTGGGTTACAAGAGGACAATAGTAAATGTCATCCTGTGACCCAAAGAGAACTAAGGGCAAAAAAAGGTTTGGCCATAGTTCTCTTTAACCCTTTTGCTGCAACCGACGTATGTCATACGTCACTTGCAGTGTGCCCCTTTAAACAAACAGACTATACACTATAGCCATCAGGATTCTGTTTATATGCTGAATGTCAGCTTTACACTGGAAGTGATTCAGGCCACTGAAGCTGCCACCAGATCGCTTCCAGGGGCTGGTGAAGCGCGCACCCCCAACTTTCTTTCCGGGCCCGCATGAAGGGCATCTTAGGTGTCGGTGGGAAGTAGGGAATCAGTTCGCTGATCTCCTCCCTACTGAATGGATAGGGAAGCGACGATAATTTCATTACTTACGGTTCCCCATCCGTCATTGCTCGGCTGCAGAAACCAGACAGTGAGCTTTTGGAGCGTGATCGGCACTCCAATAGATTATTTGGAGTGGAAATGTGACACTAGGGGTCTAATTGATCCCTAATACCAGTAATAAATAATGCCAAGAATACTTGTCACCAATATTATCCTATCACAGAAGGGGCTTGTGAGCACCTTCTGTGATAGCAAATAAGTAAAAAAACAAGTTAAGAAAATTAAGATTTAATAAAATAAATGTAAAAATAATTAAAAAAAAAATAAAGTCCCCTGCATATTAATGAAAACTCACAAGGGGTTCGCCTACATATCGTGTTACACAAGTTAGGTATTGCCACATGCCCCAGAGTGAGAGCAACAGTTCTAGGGACAATATTCACAGATTTCTCTAAACTGATGATGGGCTTTTTGAAACTGTCACACGTCGGCTCAATAGATCAGGAAGTGAGCGAACACATTCTGTCGCTTGCTCACTTTTTGATCATCTCCCTGCAGAGAGCAGTGACTGTTAATCATGGCTCCCTGCAGGGATACCCCCCTCCCCGCTCTGATCCTCCAGCGCTGGCTGGAGGAATGGACAGGGAAGGGGCGGGTACAGCTGGCTCTGCCTCTAGATAAGCAGAGCCAGCTGTGACTCACGCAGCTGGGTGGATCTTGACAGTTATGTTGGGATCCATCCCGGCTGCGGCGGTCTCAGTATACCGCGAGCTGTAGCTCGCGATATATTAAGCTTTGGGTCACGGGAAGACGATAGTATATGTCCTCCCGTGACCCTTAGGAGAACTATGGGGAAAAATACTTACCCCATAGTTCTCTTTTAAGTGCATTTTTTACTTTTTGAGTTTGATAAAGAGTTAATATTGTGCAACCTAAAAACTTGCAATTGCCACCATTTTATTCTACAGGGTCTTTGCTTTCAGAAAATATATAATATTTGGGTATTTCATATTTAAGTAATTTTCATTCCTAAAATGTGGATTATAACGTGTGCAAAAAAACACAAAAAAGGCCTTGGCAGCTAAAGGTTAAATGAAAAAAGACTAAAAGAAGAAAACTTATACAGCTACCAAGTTTCAAGGGCTGTTAAGCTGAAATATATTATATTTTTGTTTTGTGGTTTAGATATGCTTTAAACGATTGCAGTTTGCAAAGAGTAAAAAGTCTGGTGGCCAGGATAGCTGGTAACTCAAAAAGAGTAAAATGTCAAGTAGTATATAGTTATAAATATCACACTGCCATGTTGTTTGATTCTCTGAACTGCACCATGTATTAAGCTACCAAAATATAGTCATGAATATCATTATTTTTGTAGATTATGACTAACCAAAGACAGAGCTGCACATCATGTTTATTTGTATTGCTTAAAACATGCAGACGCAATGCACCTTTTGCTTTTTTTTTCAGCACATCAGGAACATTGTGGGGTACTTTTTTTTTTCAAGGGACCTTGTTACTCGAACACTAAAAACACCATCTCTGATATTTTCAGCTATGATATTGTGAAAATAAAGATGGAAGTTACTTTAAAAACCTTTCAATAAGTGCACTGAAATTGTCTGGATAAACATTTTAAAAGCTCTTGTCGGGAATATAAAGTATCACTAAAGTCCATTTACACTCAAGGTTTTAGCTCTACATTTTCTTCTTTTAAGCTCTCAAGTATTCTTAGTACTGCAATGTTCTTGAAAGCTTGAAAAAAAGTAGTTGTGCTATATTAACAGTCAGAGTGATTATATAAAAAAAAAAAAAAAATAGTTATGCAAGTATACTATTGCTTAAAGTTTTCTTACTAGAGATCAGATTGGTAGCTAAATATCATGTAAATGGCATATTTTATGTGTCTACAGTCCAATCATTATAATTATCTAGTCTGATTAGAAACAAAAGTTTTTACAGTACATTTAGCTTTTCTATGAAGTATTATGTTGGGGGCTTAGGGCATTTCACTCCTATGCATGTACAGTACTGCACATTTGTGACATGCGATAATGCATTTATATATGCACATAATTATGTGATTTACATGTGTGATCATACATCCAGCAAAGTGAAGGAAAAACAGTCAGGATTTTCTATGATAGGGATCCATATAAAACACGCAAAACTGCATTTTTGTACATTTACCAATCATTCAAAGGGTCTTAAAGTTCACATATGACCAGCCTATGGAAAAGTATTTACCAATTCTTAACAAGCAGTAAAAGAGCTTTAACCCTTTCACGGCCCCGTAAACAGACTCCCGGTTGATATAGCTTGTTTATGCTTGTAAAGCCGACTGTTCACTTTCTACTGAAAGTCAAGACCATAACATACAGGGGTACAGGTACTCTTAATGACTGGAACACTATGTAACTATGTGAACAGCCACCCAATCACTTCCACAGGTCCCAGAACATGCTGCCCCCCACCATGTATCCTGACGTCCACTGCCCCTCCTTGGAGCCTGGAACGTCCATAGCGAGTGCCAGCAGGCACAGCAGAGGACAATTAGCAAACATACATTGTCTGATCATCACTGCAGTGAGTGAACCCCGAAGCGATAAGCTTTTTGTCACCTTTGGTTTTAGAGCAGTCATTCCCAGGCAGCTGTGGCTTAAGCTAATCTATTTTCACAGTTTGCTTTACTCTATGACATAGCGTCATAGAGTAAAGCAAACAGCGAAAAGGCATGCTGGTATATATGAAGGAGACAATTGCTGTTTAAATGAGATGTAAAGTTATCAACAAATTTGTCCATGCTTGCATGCATTGGAGCATATGTAGGACTGGGTTCACACCTAGGCGTATCGAATATGCGTGTTTGTCGCGCGATTCGCGGTAGACAAACGTGCATTTCCGAGGGCTAATTGGCTGTATCCCAATGGAAACGCGCGACAAAAACGCCCCAAAGAAGCTCCTGTACTTCTTTGGCCGTAGGGCGTTTTGTAGCGCGTTCATACGGCCTGTAATACGCCCAGGTGTGAAGCGGGTCTAAAGCTCTGTTAAACAAAACCTTAAAAACACTGAAAGCAATAGTGACTAGAACACCTATTGTGTACTCCTGTATGTATGAACTCATTCCATACAATAATAAAAATGGGGCAGGCATTTGGCTAGTGTTCTTAAAGCTAGAAAAAAAACACCAAATCAAAATGCAAACTCCGGAAGCCCCTGTAAACTAGGGACTTATACAAGAAAGAATATCTGCATCTTTACAACTACATTTTTACACTTATTGCTCTGATGCTTGTTATGATGGGTTCTGTTTTCACAGGGGTACACCCATGTGTTAGCACATCTAAGAATTTAGTTGCATGAAAGGGTCTTCAAGTTGGAAATCATCCTACTGAAGAATAGCATAATGAATTTGAATAGCTTTATCTGTGAAAGAAAATTGAGGAGACCAATCTTTATTGGCCAATGCACTGTAACAAAATTGTGCAATCATAAAATGACAAATAGTGCATACGTTTACAGTCCCCATTTTTCCTGCCAACTAAATTGAAACATCACAGCAAAATTTACATTCATGTCTTCCTAACAGAGTTGGCGCAGCATAAAAAAGTAACAATTGAAAAAAAAATTATGCTTTTATTTAACACTCAAGAGCTGTATAAACCTTTGATGCTCTAATCAAGAATTCCTTAGGCATTATTTGTCCTTTTACATGTAGACAAGTTGTAGGTCACTATTCAATTAAATAGCGCACAAGGGGTTTAACCTAGCAGGTCATTTGCATTGTGCACATTCCACGGCAAACTGCAGTTCCCCAGACTGTGGTTGTACAAAGCTAAAATGTAAGGGCTAGCTTCAGGTGATTTCTCCCACTGCAGCTTTGGGAAAAGGAATTATGAGCAGAATTTTGTGAGCTTTATTAACCATTCATTGAAAAATACAGGGTGCTGTCACAGGATTTAAATGACTAGCTGCTATAAATTACAACTGAATAATAATTGTTGAAATAACCCTTTGCATATTAACAAAAAAAGTATCAGTGCTTCAATTGTTCTAGTTTTCACTGCAGAATAAGCAGCAGACAATGTTATTCTGTTCTGCAGAATAATCTCTTACCTTAATGATAACAGCATGAGCGGGGAGATTGACACCCCAGGCTAATGTGGCTGTACAAACCAGGACTTTGATATGTCCCTGAGAAAAAAGGTTTTCCACCAAACTCCTATCTTGCCGCAGCATGCCTGCATGATGAATACTAAATCCATCTGGAAACAACTCTCTTAGCTGCTTATTCCTAGACCTTTGCACCTGTAGAAGACAAAAGGGTTTAGTAAATGACTGATTAGCTCATAATGAAAAGACATTCATGTGTAAAACGGAAATATGCAATCACGACACTGACTTAGTCTTGTTCTTTTGATATTCTAAATACTGCCATTGTTACAATTCAAGCTAAACAAAGTACGGCAAAATACAGCTATGTCTTTACTGAACGCTTAACCATCTTTTAAAAATTCTAATTACATTTTAATGTCTTACATTGAATTTCACAAGTTCCCTGGATATGTATAGATGTTAAGTAAGACTTTGAGTTTACTGCTAACAGAATCTTACATTGGGTCAATGAGAGAGAGAGAGAGATAGAGTGCGTGTGTGTCAAGGACCTATGACACGAAGTGCAGGTGTCATGGTATGCCCAGAGTTAGTAGCTGACTAGAATTCTAGAGCACTGTATTAGTGCTAATATATTATATATATAGGGCATATATAGTTATATAGGGCATAGACTTGGCAATGTACATAACTGCTCACAGTGATCCCTGTAAAAAACAAAAAACAAAAAAACAAACAAATATGTAGGACCAAACTAGGACCTCCTGTACAAACTCTGTCCCTGGCATATTTTGGATCTCCGTGGGGCTACATTCACTGCTGTGAAGAGAACACTAGAGAATCTGAAATTGGTGCAGGTATTTGAAACCCTTAGGGAGGCTGCCAGAAACCATATCTCCAGTCAATTTTTTTTTTCATTCCAGATGTGGATAGTTTAAGTTAGAACTTTCATATCTCATTGTGGATAGTTAGAACTGACATTTTTTTTGTTATTGTTTCCCCATTTGGGGGTATATTTCTTACTTTCTGTTGTGATAAAATAGAGAGTGAGTGGAATGCTCCCCACTTCCTGTTACTTTCATATCTCATAAAGAACAGAAAGGGAAAAGATACCCCCAATGGGGAGGACACAGACAGTAATAAAAATACATTTTATAGTAGGCTTAGGAATATTTTGAACCTTTGTTAGGACTTTATTGCTGGCATTGTCCATATGAAAAAGAGTTCACCTCACTTTTTGTCTAGATGACGGGTTTTAGACAAAACAGGAAGCAAAACTGATGATCTAAAAAAAAAAAACCATAGCCAGCATCTGACAGAAACATCTTCTCAACTGAGACGTGGAAAGTGTTAAGAATGTGCTCACTCCAGAGGAGAGATAAAGCTGGGCTTGGTGCAAACCCACTTCACCTAAGTCCACATAAAACCGTGACCGCCACACCCCTCCTGACCCAATCAGTGACAGCAGTTGCCTGTCGCTTTGTGACGTATAGCTGTGGAGTGAGGAATGCGCCTCTCCTCAACTGACTGGGTCAGGTGGAGGGGATGGCATAGTAGGTCACAGGCAGTAGGGCCCATTTAAACAGACTCCCGACGCAGTTTATATTTGTAGAGCTGACTGTCGACTTTACAATAGTAGTGATTCTGGCAACTCCGCTGTTGCCAGATCGCTTCGACTGGCCGGTAACCTGCCCGCCCCCCCACCATGTTTCCCGGGCTCCGCTGCCCCTCCTCCGGGCCCAGGACCGGCGGGAAGCTGGGGGAGGAGAGCGGCGAACATTGTTCACCAATCTCCTCGCCGTTCTATGGGAATGGGAGTGACTTCTGAATCACTTCTGGTCCCATAGGTGTCATTGCTGGCCTCTGAAGTCCAGCAATAAGCTATTGAAGTGCTATCTGCACTTCAATAGCTTATCTCAAGTAATAAGGTGATACTAGGGGTCGTTTGGACAACCAGTATAACCTTAAAGAGTACCTGTCACCACCAATCTCCCATCACATGGGGGGCTTGTAAGCCCCCCCTATGTGATAACAATTAAAGCAAAGTAAAAACAATAAAAATAAGTTTTTAAAAATAATATTAAATGAAATAAATGTAAAAATAATGTAAAAAATCCCCCACCTCCGCGAGCATGCGTCGGGTACGCCTACGTATAAAAACGACAATCGCGCTACACATGTTGGGTATCGCCACGCACGCCAGAGTAAGCACAATAATACTAGGGCCAATATTTGCGCGTATCTCTAAATTGATGACCTGTAGGGCATGTTCGGAATGTATATCCTGGGCATGTTGGGAATCTATTTACGCGTTTGAAACCTCATCTTTTATATTTTATTTGAAAAAAATTGGTATTTTATTGTGTTTTGGGGCACTAAATTTAACTTAAGTGCATATTTCACTAAATTTTGGGGTTTGATAATAAGTTGCGCTAATATCCTGCACCATAAACATTTGCAACTGGCACCATTTTAATCTACAGGGTCTTGGCTTTCAGGAAATATATAATGTTTGTGAGTTTGAAGCCATTTTCAGGCCTAAAATGTGGATTATAACATGGGTGCAAAAAAACTAAAAAAAAAAAAAGGCTTAGGTAATTAAGGGGTTAATAAAAAATAATTACATCCTAGCTTTAAATTCAATAGATCTTTAAATTCTAAGCTTACATTTAATATAATTTTTATATGTTACATACTCCACATGCACAGCCCCATCATCCATTTACAGGATTGTAGGGACAACAAGTCTCACCTGCCACTACGGCAGAGGGCTCTAATGAAAATAATGATAATAAAAAAAATGCACATTTCTTCTATTATGAATGTGTGTGCATTTATTATTATAATTTTTTTGGAAACAGGTGGACTACGCCTTTAGGAATACGTCTTAATGTTAGCTTTTTGTAAGTAGTAGGACCTGGGAAAAAGGGTTGGCACGATTTGACAATCAGGTTCTACTACTCGGCAATAGTGCTGTCAGTCTAGCACAGTAAACATGCTTACAGTAGGGGAGAGAACAAGCATTATTAATCAGTAGGCTGCTGCTCATTTGCTATTGATTTAGTAGGTTGGTGTTGTGTTCTGGACAAAGCTTGTACTGATCAACTACAATGGAGGTTAAACGAAAATGTGTGTATGCTGTCTGGCAGAAGTGTATGGGTCATAATATTGAGCAAAACAGACCAGAATTACAAATCTTTTGGTGGGAAATATGGTCTGAATATCTGTATTTTAAATATGTATTAAGCTGCTTGCCCAAAGGTCAGTTTTAAATGTATGGATTTCAGTAAAAGAAAAAAAACTTAATTATACACAACCATTTACAGATTCATTTTGGAAAACCCTCATCTGAAACACATAGAGGGGGATTTATCAAAACTAGAGCAGGCAAATTCTGGAGCAGCTATGTATGGCAACCAATCAGCTTCTCCCTTTCATTTTCAAATCTTAACTGAACAAATTGAAGAGAGAAGCCGATTGGTTGCCATGGGAAACTGCTCCAGATTCTGTCTGGTCCAGTTTTGATAAATTCCCGCCATAGAGAATATCACATTTCTCAAAAGTCTACATATTAGAGATGATTCACTTTATCATATAATGTGGGCCTATGTGTCCTGCAAAGAGGACAAATTGTGAATTCAAGTCACACGGCATATTGTATAACTAATGAGACCTAATGTACGGAGATTACCTGACACATCCTTCAAGTTCTAAAAAATAATGGACACTCTGATTTGTAAACAATCACAAAAGCCTGTCTCATAGCGGTATTTCAATATTCTACATTGTCCACAAGTAATTGAAAAACAGAGCATTAACATTCCTTGTCAACTGCTTGGCGGATATTCATTGTAGCATGAATTTTCAATCTTTGGCATAAGACAATAAATATATACATACACACATTATATATATATATATATATATA